ATAAGGAAAAAGTTTTGAAGTTTTTATCCTAAACAAATGCTAAATGTTTAGCTGGGTGCGGTGGCACATGCCTGTAATCCTAGCTCTTGGGAGGCTGAGGTAGGAGAATCGCCTTGAGTTCAAGGTCAGCCTAAACTACTAGTGAGATCCTGTCTCAAAAAAACCAAAATAACAAAGAATCAATAACTGGGACCTCATCTTACTAAAAAGCTTCTGCACTGCAAGAGAAACCACCAACAGAGTGAAAAGACAACCCACAATGTGGGAAAATTTTTTACCAGCTGTTCCTCAGACAAAGGTCTACATAGTATCTAGAATCTATAAAGAACTTAAAAAATCAGACCCCAGATTTAAAGACTCAGTTCAAAAATGGGCATCTGAAATGAACAGACATTTCTCAAAGAAGTAGAAACAGCAAATAAACATATGAAAAAAATGTTCAACATCACTGGCCATTGGAGAGATGCAGATGAAAACAAGGCTGAGATTCCACCTCACTCCAGAAAGAATGGCTGCTATCAAGAAATCAACCAATAACAAATCCTGGTGGGGTTGTGGGGGAAAACGGAACCCTGCTCCTCTGCTGGTGGGAGTGCAGACTGGTGCAACCACTGTGGAAATCACTATGGAGATACCTCAAAGAACTAGGACTAGAGGTCCCATTTGACTCACCTATTCCCTTGCTGGGTATCTTCCCAAAAGAATTAAAAGAATCATACCACAGTGATATATGTGCACTCATGTTTAAAGCGGCACAGTTTGTCATAGCTAAAGCTTGGAAACAGCCCAAGTGCCCATCAACTGGTGACTGGATAAAGAAGATGTGAGTTTTTAAATAAAATGGAGTACTACTCAGCCATAAAGAATGAGAAACTAGAGACATTTATTTCTAGCTAAATGGGTGCACACTGAGGCCATACTCTTAAGTGAAATAAATAGGACATACATGTGTACTGAATAGTTTCTCTGGTGTGAGAAACTGAAAGTGTAAATAAGGATCAAAATGTAGAATAGATAATGTGAAATAGGAAGATAAGGCCCAAAGGGGAAGGGGAAGTGGGGGGGCGGAGGGGTAGGCAAGGGAAAGGAATAAATATGAGAAAAGGAAAAAAGGAAACAAAGTCTTTGTAAATACCAAGGGGTGGAGGGGTAGAAGGGAGGGCAGGGGAATGGGGAAAAAAATAAGAACCAAGATACATCATGTAAACAAATTCCCAATAATGAATGTCATCATATTATATACCTAAAATGCACCAATAAACTTAATGAATAAAAAAATAAAATAAAATGATAAATGTTTAAAGAAATATATGCTGAGCCTGCTGTAAACATTACATAATGCAAATATGTATTGAAATAAAACATGATACCCCATTAATATGCACAATTTTTGTTTTATATATCAGTTAAAAATAAATTTAATTAAATTTAAAATATGTATTATAAACACAAATTTTATATAACATAGAAAATATAAATGAAATTTATATATAAAAATATAAAACTACAGAGACGGGTTTCCAGAGGTTGCAGAAGAGGTGGGCTCAATGACTGAGCACCCGGGAAGGACTGCTAAGGATAGTCAAACGTTTCCGTAAATATTGGAATGGCGACACAGGACACCACACACTTGTCACAACCCACAGCACAAAGAGTAACTCTCAATGTATATGGAGTGGGAGGTCACAGATAAGCAGGGGGTACGTGGGCAAGGTGCTGCATGGTTGTAATCCCAGCACTCTGGAAGGCTGAGGCAGGAGGGTTTCAAGTTAGAGCCCAGCCTGGGCAACTTAGTGAGATTCTGTCTCAAAATAAAACAATTTTAAAGACGGCTGGGGATGCAGCTCAGTGTGGAAGTCTGGGTTCAATCCTCAGTACCACACAAGGGGCTGGGGAAGGAGCTGGAATGATCAGCATGGTATCGGGTTAGCCTGGGACACTTCGGGATGGACTTATGTAGCTGTGGATGGTTACATGATAAAGAAGTACTGAACTGCAATCCAAAGCAGATGATTGGCCCTGAGCTCATGGCGCTCTAAATGAATGATTGAGTGAATGAATGAATGAGGGGGAAGAGACAAATCTTAAGCACAGAACAGATAATTAATTCATGACGCAGCTCCATCAGCCAGGACAGGCCCCTAACTCTCCGCTCCTTAGGCAGCTTCCTTCCAGAGTGTGTCACAGGAAGGGGACAGAACTGTTGCCATGGTGACATGCCTCAGCCAGGTGAGCAGGCCACACTGATACCGATGTAGTCCTAAGCCCTTCCTCCCACAGCCCCGCAGCCCAGTGCAGCCATGGAGAAGCAGCAGGCCCAGCACACAGGGTCATCAGGAACCGGGGCAGGCGGAGAAGCTGTCGGAGCGGAGAGAGGTCTCAGGGACATGAGGACTGAATGTGACAGGGTGTCCTGACAGGATTAGAGAGCAGGAGAAAAATAACCCTAGGAAAGAATTCAGGAAATTCAAATACGGTGAGGGCTTTGGTTAACAAGGACTGATGGAGGCTGCTCCTCTGCTAATGGGAGATGCACCATCTAGGGAGCTGGACTACGGAAACTCCTGTGCTATCCTCTCTCTTCACAAGATTTCTGTCAACACAAAGCTATGCTAAAATTAAAATCTTATTTTAAAAAATAACTGTACAGTGGACCCTTGAGTTACGACCAGCCTGACATATGAACTACTTGGGTTAGGAACAGAATTTTAGTTTTAACTTACAAACAAAGTATTGAGTTACAACCTGAATGCCAGCCACTTGTGCTTCCAGATGGTCTCAGATACAGATTTAACCTTTAAAGAGTTCTGGGAGGAACAGTACAACATCCTTCCTGTGTCAGGTTAATTGAGAAATCCTGAGCCAGTGTCTCTCTAAGGACATAGATCTGCCTGTATACAAGAGAGAGACTTTGAAGGCTGTATAGGAACCTGAGCTTTCAATTGACCAACTGAGTTACCACCAGCCCTCAGGAATGAATTGAGTTAGTAAGTCAAGGGTCCATGTACAAGTCTTCTGTTTTCCCAACTACAAAACTACAAAATACGAATTTGCCCAATTAAAAATCAAAGCGTTGATGGGGCCAGGGATTTAGCTCAGTGGTACCACCGCCTTCCTTGCAAGCACAAGGTCCTGAATTCAATCCCCAGTACCAAAAAAAAAAAGAAATCAAAGTGTTGAGCTGGGTGTGGTGATGCATGGCTATAATCCCAGCACTTGGGAGGCTGAGGCAGGAGGATCGCTGTGAGTTCAAGACCAGCCTGGTCTATATAGCCAGACCTCGTCCCACCTGCAACCTCTAGTCCTTCCCAGCAGTGGTCTAGTTGTTCAAGCACAGCGCTCTGTGGTTTTTGCAAAGCTGGCTTCTTCTACCCTCTGCCCTCCAGGGCCCCCCTTCCAGGGATCCCTTCTACCTCCTGTCTCAATGTGATGTTCAACCTTCTGTGTCTGATTTGTTTCATTTAGCATTAAGGCCTCACGGTGCATCCAATGTCCTACAAATGACTCCAATTTATCAGAAGTTCCAAAACTTTCTGTGGCACACTTGTCCAACACTAAAGATTTTCATAACAGGGTATGCTCTGTTGTTCTTTAATTTGCTGTCTTTACCCAAACAGTGTCTTGGAGATCTCCACATCCCATGGCTCTACCAGATTCTCCTATTTGGGTTTTTCCTGCAGCACAGCGGGTGGAAGGTGAGCTATAGGCGTAACTGGAGTCTCGTCTGTATCTAGCTATGTTGCTCACTGCTGCTGAGAGGTGATTGGACCCTGAAGACACAACGCTGAGAGAAAGAAGCCAGGATAATGTTGTGTGTTTCCATGTATATGAAATATCCAAAGCAAGGAAATGCCCAGAGACAGGAAGCAGACTTTTGGGTGCCAGGGAAGGGGGTGTGGGGCAACCTCCTACCAGGCAGAGTTTCATGTAGAGAAATGGAAACAGTCAGGAGCTAGACAGCGATGACATTTGCAATGCTGCGAATGGACTTGATACCACTTGGTCAGACTGTTGCATGATGAAAACCTGACAAATATTTTACCACAATAAAAAAAAATTTTTGGAACACCCAGGAAAAAAAGAATCAAACACACAAAAAACCCCCAACAACAATAGAAAATTAGGCCTTGCCAGTTCCACAGACATTTCTTCTAAACTCCAGAAAGAATAATTCTTATGCAAATTATGCTACAGTGTACAAATAAAGCCTTTCAATTGCCTTTGAACAAAATTTAGAGGGCTCATTTATGAAATGTTCAAACTCATTACAAACACTTAAAATGATTTACTAAGTGATTTTTCAAAAACTCAAACATGAAAAACTGTTAGTGACGACAGCACAAGGCGAAAACATACTGCTGCAAAAACAAAGCTCAGAAACACCGACCCTGCTTGTATTTAAAATATTGATGTTTTGTTCGTCATGGATTTTTTTCCATTAATTTTGATTTTGCGGGGGGGCGGGTTGAGACAGGATCTCACTATGTAGTTTAGGCTGTCCTTGAACTCACTATGTAGCCCAGGCTGGCCTCGAACTCACAGCAATTCTCCTGCCTCAGGCTCCTGAGTGCTAGAATTACAGGTATGCGCCACCAGGCCCAGCCTGATTTTTAACAAGAATTGTTTAAAGGCATTATTTGTTTTGATTACTGAGGGCTTTTTGGTTCTCCCTTAGAATCTACTCCTGGGGCAGCTACTACGCCCTGGCCCTGCCACCCAGCGGATGTATGTTTGAGTATGCATCATCTTTACTGTGAAAATTCTGTAGTATAATTATTCTTTGTATGTGTAGATACATATATATCTATCAGTTTCTATCACAACTGATACATCATCACCGCCCGTTGTATCCCAGTTTTCAATCATCTCTGCACTACCATTAATTCGCAATTCATTTCTGCTCTGTGGATTTCTTAACTGGCTACTAACATTGTTTTGAAGCTACCAGTGTTCTACCAAAATTTACATTCCTATCTGTAACCATAAATAAGTGAACTTACCTTCCATGTTGAACTTTTTAACTGACTTTGGAACAACACTCACGACCGACCACGTCAGAGGTTTCACTCTTGGCAGGATCAAAGTCCAAGCCCTGCACTTCAGCCCCACCACGCAACCACCTGTTTTTCTACCCGTAGCACCTGGACTGGACCTGCTGGGGCTCGCATTTGCTGGCACAGACATGTTCTCTGGGCCTGGCTGGAGCAGAGCTAGCTGGTGGCAGGGAAGAGCCCTGGGCTTCGGGGAGACTCTGGAGCGCCCTGCTGCAGCCTTCAGGGTCCCTGGGTCGAAGCCCCGCCCAGTGGCAGAACATTCCCGGATGTCACTGGATGTCACTTTGCCTTTGCTGCTTCGGCCAGTTCTTTACATTGTTGGGGCCAGGGCTCGCGGGCTCCCCCTCCAGGCAGCTCTCCATACTGCCTGTGCCACCTTGATGCCCTCAGCCCAGCATCCAGAAGGGGGCATGCGTCCTGCACGGTGACCAGTGGTCCCTGCCCTAAGACGACAGTTCCAAATTTACCCACAGGGAGCTGCTGGCCTCTACCCATGGGACCTTGACCCCACCTCGAGACCAGAGCAGCCGGTGTAGAGCCCTTGGGGACACTTCCCAGCCTCCCTTGCACCCTACATGGGTAGCAGGAGACACCGTCAATGAGAAGTGAGGGGGCTTTGGGGATGAGACCCCCAGGAAAGCCCCTTCCATATTTGTTTTACTTAAAGGAAGGAAAACCCCTAACTTAAGTTGGGGGACTCACCTAGAACCTAGTTCCTAATGGATTCAGCATCCAAACCTGTCCTTTCATGGAACCTAGGAGACCCATGTCCTATCCAGAGTGATGGCCTTCTTCCCTGTCACTGTCTCCCAACTAGTGACAAGAGACATGCCCCACGGGGCCAAGGCCCCCTTTCTCTTTGCCACCTGCACTCCCGTGCTTCTCATCCTGAGGGTGACTCTATCACCAGTGACGATCACTTCCTGTCACAGACCTTCCCAAAGCAGAGTAGGGGTCAGGAGGCCCCGAGGTGCAGCTTTGTCTTCTATGCCCGGATTTTTACACCCTTGATTCCATCTAATCCTGACAGTAGCCCAGTAGGTTGATATTATCATTGTCATTTGACAGGTAAGGGCCCACAGCAAATATAGTAACCCCTCTAATCTGAGGGGCGTGTCTTCCAAGACCCGCTGTGGAGGCCTGAAACTGCAGATGGTGCCAAACTTTAAATACTCTGAGGTGGGGGTGCAGCTCAGTGGTAGAGTGCTTGCCGAGCATGGATGAGGCCCTGGGTTCAATCCCCAGTACTGCACAGGAGGGAGGGGTACAATTTAAAATACTGTTTTATTCATCATACATATCTATGGTCTAATTTATACATTTTGTTGATTGTATTCTTTACTACATCTGTTTGTAAAATATTTTGGTGGTTGTTCTGGGCTTTTCACATACATTCTTAACTTTCCACGGTTAGTATAAATACTTAGGATAAATACTATTTCAGTGGTATATGGAATACTTCTCATCACTGAAGTCCATCTGTCCTCCTTTCTTTATACTGTACATTCAGTCTGCATTTAAAACCTCATCAAACAATGTCAGAATTTTTGTTTTCAACCATCAGTCATATTTTAGATACAAGAAACAGAACATTTACTCAGACATTTATCATTTCTGTCCTTCACACTTCATTCCTGTCATTCCACATTTCGATCTAATGTCATCTCTCTTCCATGGGAGGAACTTCCTCTACCACTTGTTTTAGAAACAAAGGTGTGCTGGTGTGCTGGTGACAAAGTCTCCAAGCTTTCCTTCATGTCAGGATACCTTTATTTCATTCCCTTTCCTAAAGGATATTTTCACTGGGTATAGAACTGCAGGTTGGTGGTCCTTTTCTTCTAGCACTTCATAAATACTGTTTCACTTCCTGTTAGCCTCCCTGGTTTCTGGTGAGATACTGACAAACAAGTGTTCTATTTTTCTCTGACCACTTTGGAGATATCTTTGTCTCTAAGGAAGTTGGATTATCATGTGCCTAGAAGTGGATATCTTTGAACTTAAACTGTTTGAAGTTTAAGGAGTTTCTTTTTCTTTTTCTTTTTCTTTTTTTTTTTTTTTTTGGTGCTGGGGATCGAACTTGGGTCCTTGCTTGCAAGGCAGGTGGCGAAACCACTGAGCTAAAACTCCAGCTTTAAGGAGTTTCTTGAGCCTGTAATTTTGAGAAGTTTCCAGCCATTCTTGTTCCCTTCTTATTTCTTGAACTGTGCTTTGTCCACACCTTCTAGGACTCTGATGACAGGAGTATTTGTCATTTTGGTATTGTTCCATAGTTTCCTGAGACTCTGCTCAAAGTTTTTTCAATCTTTTTCTCTCTGTGGTTCAGATTGGATAATTCCTGTAGATCTATCCTTCTACTGTCATCTCTTCCATTCTGGTCTTGAACCCTTCCAACTCTTTTGTTCTTTTATTTCTATTTCTATAATTATATTTTGGTTCTTCTGTATGCTTATTTGTTCTGGGTTTTTTTTTAAAACAGGGTCTCGATATGTAGCCCAGGCTGGCCTTGAACTCATGGTGACTGTAGGTCTTATTTAAACCCCAAGGAAAATATTGACTTATTAATCTCTTGATTGATTTTAACAGACAATAGACCTAGGCGAGGTCCAGTCTACAATTCACTTTCTATGGGCTCTGGTTCCAGTATCAGCTCAGTTTCACAGATTTCCACAGTGCCATCTGGCTGGGTTTCACGAGTCCAGGACAAGTGGCCAGACTGGGACCTTGGAGACGGTCCACCCCACAGTTCAGGTCTCAAACCCTTCACATTCTGTTTTGGGACAGATCCAACCATGCACACTGGGAGAAGACCCTGAGGGTCATAAAGTTATGGCATTGCTTTCTTGTGCTCTCTTCTATGCACAATGTCCTTCGCATGTTCTGGCTTCTGGAGCTCCCTTTCTAGCCTGGGCTTCAGTCTCCCAGCTCTGTCATGACTTTTTAGGATTTCACTTGTATTTGTCATTTCTTGAAATTCTGTGTGGTCTTTTTCAAATTCACCTGATCACTTCTGGTAGACTCATTCCTTGGTCCTACAAACCACACATAATCATTTTACATGTACAACAGATGCTTTCAATCTAATGTTTTCTGTCTGACTCTGCAGTGCTGTTTCTGCTGGCTCAAATCTCATTTAGGTTATTTTCCCTCTGTTTAGTATATACGCATACACATGGTGGTCAAAAACACAGTGAATGTCTAGATTTAAAATACACATTACAGTAAAAGACACAATGCCATGAATTCCCCCTTGCTTCAAACACACACATCCCATTATTTCTGCCACTTTCTGAAGCAGCTCTGGAAGTCCTCTTTCATGAGTGTCTTTATTTGTGCTGTCATGGCTGCCTCAATGTCCTGACTGGATTCAAACATTTACCTTTCATGGTCCTTTTGACTTTGGGGAAGAGCCAGAAGTTATACAGTGTTGGATCCGCTGAACAAGGTGGATGAGGACACACTGTCATGTTTTTATTTGACAGAAATTGCTGTCAGCATTTTTAATTGACTCAGGACATTGAGGCAGCCACAAAAAGACCCAGAAGGAGATGTGAGGGGTGGGGCTGGGGGAGAGGTGAGAGGTAAGAGGCCAATGCCGTCAGCATCTTGCTCAAGTTGGCAGGACAGCTGGACTCAAACTCAAAACTCGAGCCTGGCCTGGTCCCTTCCTACCAGGAGCTTGGGGACCAGCAGGCAGACAGGCCCCATATTCTTGCACATGGGTGGCAGCCACTGGGGAGGTGCAGGGCTTATCCTGGCCAGCAGAGTCAGCCTTTCTGGGCAGGCCAGGCAGTGCCCACCCTCACTTCCCATGGGTCCCTTCCAGTCAGGGACAGCCCTGCCTTGTGGGCCAGTGGCCTCCAGCCTCCTTGGCTCCTCCTCACTCCCCTCACAGATGTATCCCATGATAAATCTCTTGCATGGCCATCTGACGAGCATCTGCTTCAGAGGGCATTGGGGTCAATTCCAGATCCTCACCCTGCAGGCCAGTCCTGAACATGGGACCTCCCTGTGGCTTGTTTTGTTTTGTCTTGCAACAGGGTATGTATTCCAGGCTGGCCTCAAACTCTTGGTGGTCCTCCTGCCTCAGCTTCCCAAGTGCTAGGATTACAGGTGTGCACCACAGCACCCAGCTCTCCCTATGGCTGCTGAAGTTACCGGACACTGGTGGCGTGCTGGTCATCATACCTGGGACCAGTTACCCCCAGCACCCACCTGAGAGACAGGACAGGTCCCCTGGCCCTTGGGGCCACCCACTTACAGGAAACCCCAGTTCAGCTACTCTGTCCTCAAGTAGAGGACACGGCTGGGCCTGGGCCTGACTGGAGGAGGTCACACAGAAAGAGACAGTCCCACATGCTAGTCTGTCTATGTTTTACAACTCACATATTCATCAAGCACCTGCTACGTGCAAGGGGCAGGGACAGCAGAGTGTTTCAGACATGGCACAGGCTTGGAGACAGCTGGAAAGTGCCAGCTGTGTTGGAACACTCGCCCTCGGAGTCGTACAGACAGACTACAGTCCTGACTGCCAAAGCCCCCAGAGGAAGAGAGGAGGAGCAGGAGCCAAATGCAGTGGAAACAAGGGTGTCCCAGGCAAGGCTCGGAAAGGCCCCACCTCTCTGTGTTTTCATCAAGGACTGGCTTCGAGGGACTCTGCACTGTACATGTGAGGAGCGCACACTTTGGTCTAGATAGTCCCAACACACAGGCAGGGTCCGGGACTGCGTGACCGCTGCAGGCCAGCAGAGGGCGCTGCAGACATCCCAGCACCGGGAGAGCCTGTGACCGAGCATAGCGACCCTGCCCAAGCTGAGGCAGCCTTACGGACAAATTGTCCACCTGGCTCATTTTACATGTGGGGAAACTGAGGCTCGGAGAGGGGAATGGTGTGGCTAAGGGAAGGGACAGAGGGAGGAAAATGGCCACCGCAACCGTTTGATGTGAACTGGTGTCTCTTAAGGTGCAAATTGAAAATCAGAATTAGCCCCGCATGGGGATGCAGGTCTATAGTGCCAGCACTCTGGGAGACTGAAGCAGGAGAATCTCAAGTTTGGACCCAGCTAGGGCAAGTGGCTCAAAATAAAAAGTAATTTTTTTAAAAGGCTGAGGATGTAGCTCAGTGTGAAGGACCTGAGTTCAAGCCCCAGTATGAAAGAAAGAGGAAGATCAACAAAGTTAAGACAGAGAGCAAGGCACACATATAATCATTAACTATACCACTGCCTCCCCAAAAGACCGCCAGGGAGGTGACAGCTCCACCAGCGAGTCGCTCAGACTGAAACACACCACCCCCAACCAACCTCTTTCCAGTTTACGTGTCCCCTGAGGGGTGCACAGCACATCCTGAGCCCCCCAGGAATCCCCTGCAACGTGGCCATGGGACAGCGCAGTGTCCTCTCCCATGACTCTTCGCTTGCCCTTCCGCCCTCCTGGAATTCCCTGCGCCTCCCCTGGCCCCAGAAACCTGGGGAGGTCCCCTTGTGCACCAGCACCAAACAGCGTAGACACTCCTGCCTCACTCACCCAGAGTCCGAGGTTCACTCAGCCCGTCCTACAGCATTAGGGCAACAGACCTACGGCCTGGCGCGGAGGTTTGGCCATGGAGAAATGCCAGCGCCTGGCCTGAGATGTCCCCTCACAGGGTGCATGCAGGAGGCTGCGTGCAGGAGGTCGAGGGCCACCGCAGGACTTGCACCGTGCCCCTGCAGATGGGGCTCTCAGACTCCACTTTCCCTCTGGCGCTCAGAAAGCCGTTCAGATGCCACAAGAAAAAACTCTGACCAGTGTTATTTGCAACAGAATAAACCCAGAATTTAAATGTCCACAATTAGGGCATGATAGTAATAATAATGACGAAATCACACTTACCAAGGGCTACCACACTTATGCCGGTCACAATGAGCTCTGATGAGGACCTTTAGGAGGAAAGAACATCATCATCCCCATTTTACAAAGGAGGAAACTGAGGCACAGAGAAGTTGAGTGGTAGGGTAAGGCTACGGTGCATCCCATTTGTGGGATTTATTCTAAATTAAGATGTGCAGAAGTTTAATGCCATGAGAAAGTCTCTAGGCTCTAATGTTATGGGAAAGTGTGTGTGTATGCACACACATGTGTGCACACATACATGTGTGTGTGAACAATACAATATGTAACGAAAGAAAGTTGGGGTACAATACACCCAGGTGTCTAGGGTGCTTTACGCTGAGTAATGAGCTGACAGGTGATTTCTGTTTTCTTTGTACTTCTCAGTAGTTCCCACATCCTCCTCAATAAGCAGGCATTCTTTTAAGTCAGGAAAAGAAGCAGGCGTCACATACTGTCTTCGAGGAATCTACGAGTAGGAATTCAGACCCTGGTTAGGTATGAAGAGGGGGCAAGAGGGAAGAAACCTTGATCCTGGAAGTTCTTTTTCAAGCCCAGCTCTGGCTTGGCCTCCCGGACCAAGAGGCTGTTTTGTCCCCACAGATCCATCTGTCTACTCATCCACCCACCCACCCAGCCACCCACCCACTAACCCAGCCACCTAACCATCCATCTGCTTGTTCACTCACACAAACGAGGCTTACTCCCGGCCCTCTCGGAGCCCAGCCTAAGCACAGGGCAGGACAGGGGAAGGTCCGGGAACAGAAGGATAACACAGGGCCCATTTGGGAGAGGAGCCCCTAGGGTCCATCCATGCCCCTAATGTGGCTGCAGCTACCTGCCAGGCCACCCTGATCAGAGCTGTCTCCCAAGAATCAGTGAACTAGTAGATGCAAAGGTGAAGAAAGAAGAGAAGGAGACAAATGGTGAGCTGTGGAAACTACCTGCAACCTGGAACCCAGAGGAGGCCTTAACACCTCTAATTTATAAAGGGCTCCTAAAAGCAGGAAGGAAAAGAACCACAATGTCCTCCCTACAGATATGGACTGAAACTATGAACAGAGGAGCCAGAGAAAAAGCAACAGGAGAGGCCCTTAGCTCTAAGAAAAGATGATCGACATTGCTCAAATGAAAGAAATGCAAATTAAAACTCCTCGGAGATACTATTTGCCACCTATCAGATTGGCAGAAATCCAAGAGTCTGGCAGCCCTCGCTGATGGGAAGGTGGCAGAGGATGCTGCCAGGCAGCCAGGGGAATGCAAGGGACCACAGCTGGCAGAGGGCATCCAGCCTCTGACTCCAGAGCCTGGAGGGAGGGAGACAGACAGACAGACAGACAGACAGGTTATTGTTAGTACATGTTCGTAATACATAATGAATTAAATCAACATACGGATAAAGCATGATTGGTTTAAATTGTAGTTATAGGTGGACACAAAAGTCCAACCTTCCTCCATATACTTTATTTTGTAGGACAGACTTTGAAACCATCAATAAAATTTTACAGAAATTCCGAAAACCCTAAAGACAAATGGAGCAAGTCAATCTACCCAACGTGTTAGTAGTCCAACCACCAAGAGAGGAACTATTCTAAATGACTTTCCAACAAAGGAACCTAAAGATGCATAAACCAATCCTGATATGCGGGTCATATTTGCTTCCTGACTCATGTAAGTCACGAGCCATAAAAAAATAACTTGGCATCCATGCGACACCCAGGGAAATGTGGGCAGCTGCCAGATATCTGATGCTACCTGATGTGACAGTGGCCCACCTTCTATACATGATAAGAGGGCTGTGGCTTTATAAAAAAGAATTCTTATCTTTTAGGTACAATGTTGAATATGAATGAAATCACAGGCTGTCTGGGACTTGCTTCAGAGATAATTTAGTTATGGGGGCTGGGGATGAGGTCAGATAAGACAGGAGGTGGCCTTCGCTGAAGCCAGGGGATTAGGATGGGGAGGCATTGGACCACTCCTTCTATGTTAGAAAATGTCAGAACCAGGCCGGGGATGCAGCTTAGTGGCAGAGTGCTTGCCTAGGATGTATGATGCCCTCAATCTGATCCTTGGTGCTTCAAAGAAGGAAAAGGGGGAGAGAGAGGAAGAAAGGGGGAAAGGGAGGAGGAGAGGGAGGGAGGGAAAGAAGGAAGGAACCTAAGAAATGAGAAAGGAGAAGGGAAGAGTTGAGTTGGTACCTGGTAAAGATGTAGAACAAGTAAAACTGATCCATCACAGCTGAGAATACAAAATGGTGCAGTCACTTTGGAGACCGATTTGGCTTCCTTCCTTCCTTTCCTTCTTTCTTTCTGTACTTGAGATTGAACTCAGGGCCTTCTCACTGAGCTACACCCCAGCCCCTCTCCCTTTTTTTTAAGACAAAGTCTGCCATTAAATTGCCCAACCTTCAATCCTTCCTGCCTCAGCCTCCCAGAGTGTGGGCATTTTCTTACACCCACTGAACATCCAAGCCAGAAACCCACTCTGGCCATCTGCACCAGAGAAACAAGAACTTCCACTTGCCCAAGAAGCTGTGCTTCCTGTGAGGAACAGGATTCTCCCTGGTGCTTTTACAGATGCTCCAGTGAACGTTCAAACATTAGGGCTCTTTACTGCTTTGGAAATGGACAGCCCTTCTGAATCATGGTTTGGCAGCTTCCTGTAAAGCTAAACATAAACTTCCATGTGACCCAGCAACCCTACTTGCAGGAATCAGCCCCAGAGAAATGGAAATTTATGTTTGCACAGAAATGTAATGTTTACAGAGGCCTTATTCAGAATTGCCCCAAATCAGAAATAACCCAAACGTTCATCGAGTGGTGGAGAGATAAGTGAATTACAATCCATCTATGGAGCACAATGCAACCCAGCCCTACAGAGGAATGGACTCCTAATACACACGGCACCTCAGATGCCTCACAGAAGCATTTATGCTAAGTGACAGAAGCCAGAGCCCAAAGGCTACAAACTGCAAGATCCCACTCAGGACTGCTTTGCAGGAGGCCCCTCCTCCAGAAAGCCACCTGGCTCTCCCTTCCTAGGACCTCCTGGGAAAGGCAAAAGTGGGGGGACTGAAAACAGATGCGAGTGGGCGCAGGGAGGAGGGGTGACTGCAAAGGGTGGGAAGAAATATTCTGTACGTTACACGTCTGTAAGATCTCATAGCTGTGTGTTTAAAAGGGGCAAAACTTCCAATACCTCAAGCTGGCACTGACAGACGATCACCTAAGTGTTGACTGAACACCCGATGAAGGAAGGGATGCACAGCAGCACCCCAGGAGGAAGAGGAGGTATGGGCAGAAATGTCTGAGATGGGGGCCTGGGGGGGACCTCCGGGTGGGGGTGGCCAGGGCACAGCAGGACTTTCAGGGTGCAAAGCTGGTGACCCCAGTTTCCTGAAGACAAAGAGGCGGTGGGCAAACTGTTACTGAGCAAAGAGAGACCGGGCAAGCTCAGATTTGGCCAGTGAAGGAGAGACTGGGTTAAAAAGGGAAAGAAAGGCTTCCGGAAAATTTTTCTCTCCAAGGGACATTGCAGGGTGATTTAATGTTGACCCAAGGCTACACAGGCACTGGAGAAACATGGAACAGCCTGGGGTGCTTAACCATTTAGCAACTTAGTGAGACCCTGTTTTGAAATTTAAAAGGACTGGGGATGTAGCTCAGGGCAAAGGCCCTGGGTTCAAGCACCAGTACTGAAAAAACAGTCCAAGTGACGCTGCAGGTGAATTAGGATGAGGTGGGCAGAGGATCCCGCCTGCAGCCAGGTCTGCAGACTGGATGGCTGCTGTTCAGGGGGACCGCAGAGATGTGTGGCCTCGTGTTAGTAATCCAACCATCAAGAGAGGAACTATTCTAAATGACATTCCAACAAAGGAACCTAAAGATGCATAAACCAATCCTGATATGTGGGTCATATTTTTGCTTTCTGACTCACATAAGTCGTGAGCCATAAAAAATAACTCAGCATCCATGCGACACCAGGAAAACATGGGCAGCTACCAGATATCTGATGCTACCTGATGTGACAGTGGCCCGCCTTTTATACATGATAAGAGTGCTGTGGCTTTATATATTTCAGCCGCTGCTTCCACATCTCAGGGGCCAGGCGGTGCCCAGATACACTGGCCTCAGAGGCCCCGTGGTGGCGGGAGGCTGGGGTCCGTGCTACACTGGCAGAACTGAGCTCGCTGAGCAGGGATGGAGGTGTGAGCCAGGGGCTTGAAAAGCAGGAGCTTGTGCATCCCACACCCCCAGCCCAGCTGCAGCACCCTGCTCCTCCAGCCAGGGGATCTGGGGACACAGAACCTGGGAGAAGGGCAGCAGGGCACAGGATGCAGGAGGAGCAGGTGGTGACTTCCCCAAGCCTCCTAGGAAGGCAGGGCCAGTGGCTTCCTGGAGGAGGGGCCTCCTGGAAAGCAGAGAGCTTTGCTGCACTCGTTAGGAGCCTTACATCTGAATCTGGGTTCTTCTGTGACTTCCTGTGCACTCCCCACCTTTCCGGGGCACCTGCTCTTCCTGGGTCCCCCTGGAGCGGCCATCCAACATGGTCTTCAAGGCCTGAGAGAGGGGAGGCCTTGGGTTGCTAGGAGCTCAGGGAGGTGGGACTAGCTTCCTGCATCCAGGGGCCACATCCTGAGGAGCATGGTGCCAGGTGGTGACCAGACTCAAGTTGGGGAGGAAGAGGCCCAGGCACCAGGGAGCTAAGGAGAGATGGTACCAGACCAGAAACTCGCCACAGAGCAGAGGCTCTTCCTAGCCATGTGAGTCTTTCGGTGATTTTCCGGTGTCCCCAAGTCACGCTGTCCTTGGGCCTTACTGTTCGGTGATGTGTGCTGACATGAGCATGGATGAAATAATATGACATCTGGGATTCGCTTCAAAATAACCCGGTTTCTGGGAGAGGTAAAAGGTTTCTAAGAAACACAGTGGGCCAAGAGGTGATGGTGGCTGCCATGTTGCCGGGCCCCTGGGCCCTGGTCTGCCTCCTGTTCCTAGGTCCACTCCCCGCCTGGGCCCAGCCCTGTGGCCTCAGCCTGTCCCAGACGCAGCCACCAGAGGGAGCCCCTCCACCCTCCTGGGCCTGGCGCACACAGGAACCCCTGGTCTGTAAGAGCAGGTATAGCTCAGGAGATGCGAGGCTCCTCCTGGACCCTGGGCCTCCGCTCACGGCAGCCCTCGCCTGTGCCTCACACGATTCTGCGTAGATCGTAACTTGTTTTTTTTTCACTGTTCACCTAAAATTCAAATCTAGCATGTCCTGAATTACAGCGGCAAGCCTACGGCCAACAGACCACGAGCTCCTGCCAAAACAGTCCCCAAATCGTCTTTCTTCTTTTTTAAACAGGACCTCACTATGCAGCCCAGGCTGGCCTCAGATTCGCAACCCTGCCTCAGCCTCCTGAGGGCTGGGATCACAGACATAGTCCACCACACCCAGCCCAAGCTGTGATCTTAACGTCCCCAGTACCCAAAAGGTGACAAAGGTGTCCCCTCCTTGAAGACAACTGCCAAAAAGCAGCTTCTACACTCCTTAAGTCCCTTGTCTAATTCCAAAGGTTCCAGGCCCTTTTAGAGTGTAAAACCTGCTCAGCCATCCATGGTTGGCCTGCAGGAGGGTAGAGAAGCAGGTGCCTCCTGACTGGAAGAAGCCAGCCTTTCTAGCTCCTGCTTCTCCCCCACAGTGGGCAGGGCTTGGCAGGGAGCAAACATGCCATGGCCTGGGCTGGCAGCCCCTCTGGGATGTGCCCCATGGTGGCAGGAAAAGAGGCCCCGTGCCAGGCGCCTGCTGCCCCCATGGCCTGGGGTCCAAGTAAACATTTGACCAGCTCAACCCCAGCCCTCACCCACGCCAACACTTGGCCCTTGTTCCTGACTGGCCCTTCTGTCTCTCGTTCTCTGTGGCTGGCATTTCAGCAGGGCCCCAGAGGCCTGGGTGACCCCGAGCCCATTCTGAAGACAGCCCCGAGGGAGCAGTCCCAGTGGCGCAGGCCCTGGGCGTGGGGAGCCCAGGCAGACAGGCTGGCGACAGCCAGGCAGCCACCCCCCGGAAACCCGGACTGGGCCACGGGCTGCGCAGCCCACTGGGTGCCGGGGAGCTGGGGACGGGGGCGCCAGCTGACACGGCTGCTTTGTTCTGGGCTGGAGTGGTCTGAGCGACTGACCAGGGCTCCTTCTTTGCTAAGAAGCCACAGATAAGGCCGGCGACAGGGCCCGATAATGCGGCTGTCACAGGCTCCCTCTCAGACAGGCCCAGTGTCTGAGGCCGGCCCTCCTGGGGCCCCTGAGCTCCGTGCTCCTGGCCTCAGCTGGCCTCAAGGCCCTGAGCAGCACCCCTGATCCTGGGGATCACTCCTGTGAAGAGAGGGGCAGATGGGGTGTGGGGGTCCTGGAGCTCCAGAGTCGCCCTGTATACATCCCCTTTGGTGTCACCAGCATTCCCCAATGTTCTGTGACAGGAACAGGGACTTACAGACAAATCGGACAAGGTCCATTAGCACAGGGGCTTCAGGAAAGATCTGACCCACCCAGGCCCCTCCCCAGCCCCATGGGGGTCCTGCCTGAGGAAGGGGGAGTTTGGGGGGGGGGACTGAGGGTTCCTGCGGTGAAACTCAGCCCCAAAGGCCCTCAGCCAGGAGTCACCAGACAGAGAAGGTGCAGGGCCTGCTCTGGGGAAATCTAGGCATGTGGGGGTGTCCAGGTCACACTACCCAGCATTCAGGGGGGCAGGTGCCCCATAGGCACTGCCAGGGAGGATGCCCCTGACAGCAACTGCGACTCCCGGGGGCACCTCAGTGGCCACCAAGCAGGTGTGGGGCCAGGGTGGTGGGCCTGCCCTGCGGCAGCTGTAATGAGGCCTTCCTGCAGCCCCCAGAGGAAACCGAGGCGGGTCCTGCAGTTCGGCCCAGTGTCCCCTGGGCCGGTCCCTGCCCTTTCTGGAGCTGCAGCCCGATGGCCAGAGCACCTAGAGGGAGAGGCCTGGGTGTCTCCCTGCCTGGCAGGAAAAAGGAGGCTCCTCAGGAGGCAGAGGACAGCAGAGTGAGGGTGCCACATTCCTACCCCTGGGGACCTGGGCCTTCACCAGGTAGGACCCATAGACCCTCCCACCAGGCCTGTCCCCAGGACCCCGAAGTCTCCTCCCCACCTCGGAGACCCCAGCCAGCCAGCTCTTCGGGAAGCTCCAGGCCCCGGGGCCCACCCCAGGGCCACCCCTCCTCCACCCACCCTCCCACCGACACCCACGCCCTGCGGCAGCAGGTCTATCAAGGCTTCACCGCCCCCATCTGCACCAGAGACTCAGCTCCACCCTCAGGGGGCTTCTGGTCTTGGGGGGAAGCAGGCAGAGCCGGAGCAAGGGACCTGTGGTTAGGTGAGACAGAGCGGGCCTGGAGGGGTTGGCCTGGCAGTAAGCAGTACTGGTCAGGATTTGAGCCCAGACCTTGAAGGCGGGCAGAGGCTGTCAGCCACATGGGGGCGGGGGGGGGGCATATTGTAACCCTGAGAATGGAGGACTCAGGATGCTAAAGGGGTCTTGCTGCCACACCTGGTGGAGAAGCCACCTGTGCTTCACTGAGCACAAAAGCACTCCCCTGCTCACCCTGTGGTTTCCCCTCCTCTGTGGAGGGAATCACTGATCCCAGGTTGAGCCCAGGAGGGACCCTGCCCGGTGGGTGGAGAGGGAGGCTGGCTGGTACCCAGGCAGCTCGGCTCTCAGCCTCTCCTCCTCTCCCAGCCCCTGCTGGGCTCTGCTGTCTTCCTGGGTGGCCTTGGTGAGCCACACCCTCACGCTGGGCTTGGGACACTGGCTGGGTAGGAGCGGAGGAGACACTGGCTGTGGCCTAAGCAGGTGGGGTGCAGGGGTAAATCGGCCTTGGAGCTCTCTGGGGGTGGGGGACTGAGCTCCCCCTCAGGCAGGAGAGATGTGTCCCCCCACTCCTGGGTCTCTGCCACATGCCAGGTCCCGGGACCCGAGGACCGCACCCAGTTACCAAATTCAGTGACAATAAATACTATAATTTTCTCATCACCAAGCACAGCAGCAGAAAAAGTAAACCAAAAAGAAGAAAAGACCCAGCAGCACAGTATGGTTCAGGCACCGTGGTCAACAAAGACCCAGCTGCTAGAGACACTCTGTCCCTCGGACGGAGGGTGGCAATAGGGAGGGGAGCCAGTCTACTTCCCTGTCCCTTCCCCCTTTCCCAGCTCCCGGCTGTTTAAGCTTTTCTTGAACCTCGTGTACAGAGAGCACAACACACGCGTTTACATATGTATGAAGCCAGGGCCAAACAAAAGACGTTTCCAAGTTTCCAATACGGGCCGGCTCTTCCAGCCTCCTCCCAGGAAGCACCTCAAGGCCAATGGCCATCTGGGCCCCTCTCACCGCAGACTTAGCCCTACCTGTCCTTGAACTTCGAATTCACGGAATCCCACAGGACCTATTCTGTTACTTCTGGTTTCTCGCACTCAAAACATCAGATTCCCGCATGGCGCTGCCTCTGTCTATAATTTCTTCTGGATAAAATGTTGCTACCCACGTGAGGTGGGGCACTCCTATAATCCCAGCACTCGGGAAGCCAAAGCAGGAGTATCACCATGCGTTCGAGGCCAGCTTGGGGTACATATGAGACCCAGTCTCAAAACTCGAAAATAAACTAGAACTCCCGCTCCCACACTGCCTTGCCCCCTGCCTCTTGATTTGTTTCTGAAATACCTCTCTGAAGCCTCGTCTTATCAGAATTTTCTCTCAGTCACCGCTTTAACCTCAAGGCCCAACACAGTGCCAGCAGGTAGTAGGTGCTCAATCAACATTTGCTGGCAGGAGGCAGAAGGAAGCAACTTTCCTCAAAAAGTTCCCCATGTCTGTAATCCCAGCACTGTGGGAGGCTGAAGCAGAAGAATGGAAAGTTAAGAGTCCAGCCTGGGCAATTTAGTGATGGAGTGTAACCCTTGTTGAAATAAACAAGAGCCGGGGATGTAGCTCACCACAATCCTGAGGTCCAATCCCCAGTGCTGAGGCGGGCGGCATCTGTTAGCTGCTACAGGCTGGGGGTGTGCAGGGTGGTACAGCGCTTGCGTAGCATGCAGGAGGCCCTGGGTTTGATTCCCCAGCTTGGTAAAACCTCACTCTCCCGCTATCAGCCCACTGCACAGATGGGGAATCGAGGCCCAGCGCAGTGTCAAGTCTCTGCCTCCTTCCGGGGCCTAGCTCTGGGGAGCAGCCACATGCACAACCCACGATGACTGAGGGCTGAGGGCATGGGCCTCAACACAGGGCGCCCCGTGTTCCTGCCCAGAGGGCAGGGACCCCTCCCCCTCTGCCCTCCTCCGTGAGCCCCAGGCGCTGCCCCCGCAGGCCAACGCAGTGCCAAGGACCCGCAGTCCCGCCCCAGCCCCGGCCCCCGGCCCCAGAATCAGGGCGCCCACAGGCCTGGCCGGGCCGGCCGTG